TGGTGAGATTGGGCTAGATGAAAGTTCTCTTCCAGTTTTAAACCTAATGATCTTATTATCCTGTGACATGTCTCTCAGGCCCATAACTCATGCTAAGGCAGTTACCTTTTTTTGGCCTTCATTATCCAGATCATTGTATCTGTGTATATATATGTGTGTGTGTGTGTGTGTGTGTGTGTGTGTACACACACACATACATACATATATATATATATACATATGTGTAGGTATACATATATATGTACATAATATATATATTCACACATATATGTGTGTGTGAATGAGTATGTGTGTATACATACATTTGGAAAACTTAAAATTCCTCAGGAAGACAGCATGGTGTCATAGAAAGAGCATTGAATTCTAAGCCCAGCTCTTCCATTTGGTACCTGTACTATCTTAAGCAAGTCACTTGCCCGCCATGGGCCTCAGTTCTCTTATCTATTTAATAAAAAAGCTGAAGGTGACTTCTGAGGTCCCTTCCAGTTTCATTGTGTTCTTGTAAAATAAGAATGCAATTATCTTATGGCTTACTCTTGGTTTTAGTTCACTTCTGTAATTACAATAAAACTGATTTCACCTCCCCCTTTTCCCCTCATTTCCACTAAATACTAAGAGTTATGAAATTCATGAGGGTGGAAAGTGTGATAAATATGCTGAATTTTAAAACCCTGGATAGTCACAGAAAATCTTACATTTTGAATAAGACAAAATAAAATAATTCATATATTTTACTTGTGCCAGATTAGCATCACTTGTCCTAATGATCCAGTGTAAAAGACCAAAATACTTTGTTGACTTCTTTCACCATGGATTGCCTTAATGCCAGGTGCACCATGTAACTCAGAGGAAATAAATCTAGTTCAGGTTTCCTCAAATAGATTAGCTTTAATGAACTGGGCTAATTAAAACATTTGCTGCTCTTCTGACTGCTAGTTTTACATAAATACAGCATAAAACATGGGATTTGTGTTTTTAAATATGAAACCTGTATTCATAACTGGTAGGCCAGCATCCTGGAATTACAAAGAAGAATTATTAGCCTTTATTTTTACTATCTTTAAAAAAAAAAAAGATACACAGATTCTCTCTCTCTCTCCCCTTCCCTCCATTCTTCCCCCCCACACACACAGAGAAATTAGATTATTCCTGAATCATACATGTACATATCAAAGACTACTTTTTTCTCAATTATCTAAGTAATTTAGCATTTTATGTGTATTATTAATTCCCTACTTTGTTTTACCTGGACACACAGTAGAAAATTAATAAATTTTTAATAAATTATTTTTGGTTGGTTAATTGGTAACTGTCTTATTACCATACAGGTGTTCATACTTGGTTATGATTTTTCATTACAGCTTAAAACATTTGAAAATTATTCATTTCAGTATACTGAAAAATTAAAGTTCACTGTCACTCTGATTCATTCACTACTAGCCTTTGTTTCAGTTAACTCTTGTTTTTATGTTTCCTATATGTACATACAGCATACACACTCTAAAGCTTTTTAGAATGATGGCTCAGTGCATTATTTTTTTGTTGTAGTTGTAAACCAGAAATTTTTTTTGGTGGATACTCAGACCTATGATTTCATCAGTGGAGAGAACTCAGCATGTGCAGATTTCTTCCACTAATGAAGATCATCAGTTATCTTCTCTGGAACTTACAATCTTAGATCACTGACTCAAGCAATGAAAGGCTGATTGCCTTGGTTATGATCACACTTGCAACAGGTGTGTCAGAAGTAAGACTTAAACCCATGTCTTCCTGATTCCAAGACCCAACCCTCTATCCACTACCCCACACTGTCTCTTGCTTCCAAAGAATCTAAAGCCATTTAGTTCAGTCTGGATATACCTTCTGTGCAAATCAGAAATTCTTGTTGAGGCACAAGCATATTCCTCTGTTATGATCAAATTATATATGCATGTGTGTATGTGTACATATACACATATATACATATCCACACACAGACTATATATGCATATATGTACACATACATGTATTTTGGGGGTTTTGAGAGAATAAAAGTACTATATGAAGGGCAAGTAGGTGGCACAGTGGATAGAGCACCAGCCCTGGATCTAGAAGGACCTGAGTTCAAATCCGGCCTAAGACACATAACACTAGCTGTGTGACCCTGGGCAAGTCACTTAACCCCACTGCCTAGCGCCCCCCCCAAAAAAAGAAAAACAAAAGTATGTGAAAGCTCTGATGATGATGATACTCTAAAGGGTGAAAGGACTGCTAAATATAAATTAGAGATCAGAGAGAAATGATACACTTAGAATAAACCATGTGTGTGCGTGTGTGTGTATGTGTGTGTATGTGTGTGTATTCTTGGAACATGAAATTTCATCTTAATAACGCAAGTGAAAAAGCCGATCTATTGAAAAGTCATTATAGATTAAAAAAAATTTTTCATAAACTCAGAAAAATGTTACCCCATAAGAGGCCCTTGGAAATAATCCAATTTAACAGCCTTATTTAATAAACTGAAGCCCAAAGAAGCATCTCACCTAGAATTAAAAAACTAGTCAGATGCAGGTCTCTTGATTCCCATGTTCTTTCTATTTTTTTAAAGGAAAAATAATTTATTTCATTAATGACTTATCAAGTATAGATAGAGCAGGCTTGTAGGTATGTACGTAATAATGTTTTCAGCTAGTGTGTAGAACTGGCCTTAAAGTTCAATTGTTGACAAACAAACTTAAAAAAATTACTGAATACTACATTGCTCTGATAATATCTCTCACATACTTTACAGAGTTATATGAATAGGGTGGGGCATGGGGTTACTGCATCTCTAACTGAATATAAATTCAAAATGTACTTAAGTGCAGAAGATTCAAATAATGTAGAAAAAATATCACCAATTCAAAAGAATGGGATGGAGGCCAGTCCAGCAGCAAAAAGTCTGTGTGGTGGTATACATTTAAAGAAATGAAGTTTTATGATCTCCAAATAAGGTCCTTATTCAAAAGAACTTATAAGATCAGATAAAGTTATATTATAGTATATGTAATCTATATATAATGTATATAAATTATGTTATAATTTATATACATTATGTAGAAAAAGTCTGAGTTATATTTTTAATAATTACTGGACTCAAAAACTGAAAATAAAGGGGAAAAACCCTTAGTTGTTTTTAAACAAACAAAAACCCCCAACAATTTTAGATAAGATTACCTTCAAAGAAAGAGACTGAAAATTATTTCAGAGAATCATTTCACTTCTCTGGATCTCAGTTTCTTCATCTCTAAAATGAAAGGGTTGAACTAGATAATGTCTGAGGTTTCTTCCAATTCTAATATTCTGTGATTACATATACTATGTTTGAATCAACTTATCAGATGAGATAATGTATGTAAAGTGCCTTGTAAACCCCAAAGTACTATATAATCGTCAGTTATTTTCATCATCATTTAAAATCTGAATTAGTGGAGTCTGAATTAATGATGTATTGTGATATTAGGTTATATATGTAATGTTACATGAAAGAATCAATGAGTAATTCTCCTAGAGTTATTCTACTCCTGGCAAAAAAAAAAAAGTACCCTTAATTGATCATGCTGGTAATGTAGATAAATAAATCAAAAATTACTTAACCCAAGGAAGAGCTCACCAAATGGTCATCAGAACTATCAAGGATAGTGATAAAAATTAAATTATTCATCTTCATTGACAAAAGAATACAAAGAAATGTGTAAATTGTAGCAGAAATTTTTAGGATACTAAGCATCATTTATCTATATTCTAAATGGATTCATATGTAAAACTGAGTAAACTCACTTGTTATATATACTTTTTAAAAAAGTTATCTTTCCAAGACTGATTAGGTAAACTCCTGTCCTTGAAAAAAAATGAGTTAGATTAATTCTATAGTTCCTTTCACCCTTCTGTGTCTACCCAGTGAAAACTCATGAAATGCAATAATATAGATTAATTGATAAAAATCACATATGATGTTCACTAATTTCAGTTAACAGTCAAAAACATTCATTTCGCCTTAGCAACTTTTTATCCACAAACAACATCACATCTCAAGGGAAGGTTTAGGTAATGAGATAAAATGCTTTATTGCTAATGTTGCCAAAGTAATCTCCTCCTGAGGTCATTTATACTCCTTTCTTCCCTTTACCTACTACATATGAGAGAGCCTTTCTACCCACCGATTAGGTTTGATTCAATCATTGATTTATGAAACTCTATAGAGAGAACCTATCCATAGCACTTTGACAGCACCCTATGAAAAAGATGGAGTAATCAAGACTAATTGGTCATAGAATTTAAAGTAGAAACCTACTGCCTTTGAAAGGTAAGTAGAAACAACCTCTAAGCTTTTCATCCATTTTCAGAACAAGACCTGAGTTTATTAACATTAGTAACTTGCGTAGTTCCTAAGAGTGACTTGAAACCATTTAACTAAGAGATGAGCAGTTATTAGCCAATAAATTTAAATTGGAAATAATGAGAAGTCTAGCACATGTTAATTGTATTACTACCACTTATCATTTATTAGCTGTTGTATTCAGTAAACAGTGTCCTTAGATTGCTTATACCTTGTGGCCATATAACTTCCATACTTGGAACCCAGGTGGGTGTGAGTAGTGTATGTCAGTTTTAATTGTAGCTTAATTAATCATTATATGAAATTAAGTGTACAGTTGATTGTGGGAAGCTGTAGTGAATCACATCAATATAGAAAAAATATGACTCATATATATTAAATATATACATGTGTATATGTGTGAATATATACATGATATGTATATACATATATATATTATATATATGTATATACATATCATGTATGTATATACATATATATTATATATATGTGCTACATATGGCATCAGAAGCTTCCTAATTTGAGTAAAACTATTTACTTCAACACACCAGAAAGACTGATATTAAGATGATATAATTTAGTAAATATCTGTGTGCACAGACAGGAGTTACACCATCTCAAGCACCTTTTTATCCATGTCTTGTTATAAGGCTATTAAGCTTTGTCAGTTCTTTAAAATTCATTCATTCACTTATTCAACAACAACCATTTCTTAAACAATCACTATGTGCAAAGCACTGTGCTAGATGCTGGGGATACCTAACACTTAGGAACCATTGCTTGGATTATTAGCTTATCCACATTACTATGTTTCACTAAAATCTCATAATTATTCTGTCACTTCTAAAATTTAAGAAAACAATCATCAGTAATAATTAGAAATTGGTTGTTACAAGTTTTGGGAATTTTACAATTTGGTTATTATGCACTTTTCCTTTTTAAGTATATTAAAATTTCTTTACTTAGATTGCAGTTCCTTGCATTAGTCAGAAAGAGGGAAGCAGACAGTCAGGATCATAGTCACCTAATTAAAACAAAGCAAAAGTTTTACTGCATATTAGCTGGATGTCATATCAAAGTGGATTTTCTGCCCTGTCTGAATAATTGTCTCAATCTACCTCTTCACAGATTATATACATACTGTATAAGTAATCACATATACATATTTTCACATTGTTTTGCAGTCTTCATTCAGTTGTAATTTTTTTTAGCATTGATAATAAGGTTGGTTTTTTTTCTAAGATCATGTGGAAATTAATTGATTTTTTAAAAAAAGACTTTTGGAAACATAGATTTTTTTGTCCCTTGAAAGTTTCAGATTATGCTATATATATTCAAGCTATATAACCTTCAATCTAACAATCATATATACAACATTAGGATAGGTAGATTCTGCTGATCAGTTGGTCCAAAGTCATAGCTAGAATAGTTTAAGGTCCTCTCTCTCTCTGTATGTATGTATGTACGTATGTATGTATGTACGTACGTATGTATGTACGTGTGTATATATGTATACACACATACATACATATATGTATGTATATATGTGTGTATATGTATATATGTGTGTGTACATGTATGTGTGTGTGTGTGTATAGATACAGCCATATTCTAATTTTGTCCTTGTATTCATTTCATTGACTGTAGAATGAACCTTTTCCTGGTTTTAAATCCTATGTAAGTTGTTTGATCAAATCACCTTCCGAATTAGTCACTGAAAACATAAGTTTGAAGATTTTATTATGTTCTTACTTTATACCATTGATAAACAATGAAGATATAAATAGAAAAAGACAGCCCTTGCTCTAAAGGGCCCTTTAAGTGAGAACAACACATGTAGATAAAGTCAGCTGCAGGGTGGATAGCACATCCTGGAGATGTGCACAATAGGGCAGCTGGCAGAGCCTTTAAATTCTTAAGATACATGAAGTGAGTATCTCATAGGAGCAGCTCACCACCATTGGAAAGGAGGAAATTGATCCAGGGTTGGAGTGAAGAGGATATTCTGATTTTTGTCTGGCAAGTATGGGGATGAGAATCAGCTGAGCCAGGAAGGGAAAACATTGGCAGAAAGTTTAAGGGGTGAGGGTGTCTGCAGCAGGGAAGAGAAAGAGGAGTCCTCCTCAGTGCCAGCTCTGGCTGGGGCAGCCTAGGAAGAAGGAAAAGTTGGGCTCCCCTTAATGCCAGGTTTGTAGCAAAATAGTTTGTCTTAATCCATATAAATATTAGGTGTACTTGAATTACACACAGATGGTTTTATTGGATACTTGAACCCCAAGAAGAGTGCTAAAAATGTCCGGTTTAGTTATTTTGCTGTTAACTGAAAGACCCAGATAATAGCCACATCTCCTCTATAGTTTGTGTATAATAGAAACAGAATTGATTCTGTGTGTGAGTGTGGGTATGGGGGTGTATTTTAAACTGAAAAGAAAAACAATGCCTGGGTAATAATTGTGATCTCCATTTTTCCTTCCCCTTTCATTTCCGATTAAGAAGTCACTTCCAGTTCAGCTCTTTTTGAAATTCCAGTATTAGGGACAATAATAAAAATTTTTATGAATATTTAATAATTACTTTTTGAATAAAACTTACTTCTTTTTTGACCTTTAGTCATGCCATAAAAATGATCTTAACTATCTTAAAATTGATGGTCTTCAACAAAAAATACTGGGAACAAGAGAAAAGCAATTAGATTTACTGTGTACTGATGGAGTAAAATGATTTTTAAACTTATTGATTGTACAGGGAAGTAATCATCACCTTTACTGTTGGCATTAATCCATTAATAACCTTGAGCTCATTATATGAAACTTTTATTTTGTTATATTAGTGGGGCTCTCCTTCTTTTTGTAGCTGGCTTAAGTCCTGCTGAGATTCAGCAGTTATGGAAAGAAGTGACTGGAGTTCACAGTATGGAAGACAATGGCATTAAACATGGAGGGCTAGACCTCACTACTAACAATTCCTCCTCTACTACCTCCTCCACCACTTCCAAAGCATCACCACCAATAACTCATCATTCTATAGTGAATGGACAGTCTTCAGTTCTAAATGCAAGGCGAGACAGGTAATTCTGATGGGATTTCTACTGTGCTTATCTATCACAAAGCTTTAGGTTTTTTTCTTTGATAAAACTAGAAATAAAAACTAGTTTCTTAATGCCAAAATGTACAGTGGGAAGAAATAAATACAAAGCCCAATGAACTGTGAACTATTTTTCTTTCTTTTAAAAAAAGAAGGTAAAATATCTACAGGCAAGACATTACAGGTGGGTGTTTTGTCTACAGAAAAAATAATTTCAAACTAACTGTGAATCAGGATTTTTTTCTAAAGGAATTTTAAAAGTGAAGTGTTGTGGGCCAGTTTGATGTTCTTTGCTATGAGAAATTTGCAACCATGTGCACTGTGTATTTACATACCATATATACATACACAAATTTAAACTAGAACAACTATGTATACCTATGTTCATATATGGTTTTGTAAGTTTAAAAAAATAGTTGGACAGTTTTAAAACTATATATGAAATATCAATAATATAGGTACCTTTTAATATATGTATTAAGAATATTTTCATGGTAATACCTAAGACATGATTTATAAGAAAATGATCTGCCTACAGCTACAACAAAAACCATGTAAATACTTCAACATGGAGTTAAAACTACTATAGGAATAATCTGACCATGAAAAAAATTCCTGTGAGGGGAAAATGGTTTTGAGAGGATGTTACTAGGACTGATTACTGTTTATGGGTAATTTCTAAACTTTCTATTTTATTTCGGTCCTGTAGAAAAAAATCATAGTGTAAGGTAACCCATATACCACCATCAACTTCTGTTAACTTTTACATATATTTATAGGTTATGTCATGTTACTTTAAAAATTTATTTTAAATTTTCAATTTAAATAGTTTAACCTTAACACCTTTTTTCTAGCTGTAATATAGAAATTTTGAATTTCTTAGCAAACTAAATAGCCTATTACACCATGCCTATTACAGCAACAATACACATATTTAGTAGTTTGATTAGATTGAGAATAATCTGTTACAAGGACAGGTGTAACAAACTTTTGATCATAAACACTTTTCCCCCCAAAGAAATAGGACGTTCAATTTTTGCACTACTTTTAGTAATGCATTATATATTGAGCCTATCTCAAGTTCTCCTTTGAGTATCCAGCATTTTTTTCATGAATAGTTTTTGTAAGATGGCATGCATATGAATGCTTTCATACTACTGTTTTAATTGAAATTAGTTTGATGATTTTACATTAGAGAAATTGGGTGATTTCTCAAGGATCTGTAGTTGATATACTTAGTGATGAAAAATTTGTAATTACATACAGATAATACAAGCTGTTTCAAAATGGAATCCATTTTTTTTAAAAAAGCCATTTGTAACTAATAGATATGAGATAAACACACATAATATGAAACAATTTAAATTACCTAAAAGGTGCCTATCTTCTTATAGTAGAATGTACCAAATATTTTATAGTAACATTTGTAATACTTAAATATTTGTTTCCGCATCTGTGTGTGTGTTAACTTGACCACAACTGAATATACATATTTTTTATTTATAGGTAAAATGTTACAATAAGGTCATATGGCAGAATTAGCATATGGTATTATACAGTCATCTTAGTTTTTCATCCTTTATTAACAGTCGTCTTTGGCTCTATTTCTTCTCTAATTGGAACATCATCTAGCCTTGGCAGTTGAACTATTCAATAGAACGATTAAATTTTTCTGACTACTCTGAGCTGAATTGACCTGTTTTGACCTGTTTGTCACTGATCGTAACCTGACAGGCGCTAGCAGCCTCCAACGATTATGGCTTCTGAGATGAATCTGACGCTGTTTCTTTTGCTACAGCTCGTCACATGAGGAGACTGGGGCCTCTCATACACTCTATGGCCATGGAGTTTGCAAATGGCCTGGCTGTGAAAGCATTTGTGAAGATTTTGGACAGTTTTTAAAGTAGGTTTCTTTTTCTTCCTTGGATAGGTTGTTTGCTAAAAGTTCAGGAAAAACAAAGATAGAAAGTAAAGTTTCACCATTAAGAATTCTACAAGTTATATATATTTTCTCAACCACTGGAAAGCCATAGCCATTAGTAGAAGGTCAAAATCATCATCCTCTACTTCATATTCAAAACTTCTAGGGTTTTCAGAAGGCATATTCTCTTTCTGTTCACCTCTAAATATCATCATTAATTTTGGAAAAGATGCAATTCATATGAAAACCAGTTTCCCTTCTAATTTTCAAATTTTGCATAAGAATTCCATGAAAAAATGTCAGAAATGTTATGAGTGTTTTCAGAAAAGTCTGTAAGTTCTCACATGGGGGAATTATAGCAATAGATTTTATTTTCCTTTTGTTAAACCTTCTTAGGGTATCCTGTAATCTCCTGGTGCGTCATACATATGATGACATCACTTCAAATTCACAGAACTACAATTACAAATTAGGCAATTAATCAAGCTGACTAGTTGAATGAAGAAACAACAGGCTTATGTTAAAGGTTCTACTTGTTGCTGACACATTAAAAAAAGCAGAATTTGGGCAGTATGTTATATACATTCTCTGGTTATTTGAGATCAAAATATTTTTGAATGTTGAATTTTCACATACTGTGATTTTTATTTTAAAAAACATAAATGAGTATTATTAGATAGTATGGGACATGTTTTGGAGAGCTTTTTTTACGTGTCCATTTTTAGCATATAGCAGATCTACATGAAAGCTACAGATAAGCTTATGGAGATGAGTAACTTCACAGGATGAGTCTCTTATGTTGTCATGGTGCAGCTAACAGGGTGAATGAACTGTTTCATGCTTCATCAACAATTAAGTTAATTAGCTCATTTGAAATTGCACTGCTTTGTTGCCAGGATGTTGGCAGAAACATCAAAAAGATGTGTTTACAAATGGTAGACTACAGGGTATAGAGCAAGAGCACCTTAACAACAAGCCACAAGCGCTCAGCATCATAATAACTTTAGAACTGAAGTACAGTAAGGCTTGAGCTAGGCATTTTTTAACTCTTTCCTCCTCTTTGAGATATTAAGAGAAAAAGAACTTATCAAGGCTTCTATAGATAATTTCTTTGTTACTCTTTATAAAAGACATTCTTTGGGTAAAGGCACTTTCATTTTAAAATATCTCAGTGCTGTTACATCAAAATGATCTTGATTTGTGATTTCTGTTTAGAGAGAGGTTTTTTGTGTAAATATCAAAAAATGATTCAGTATCAAATAGAATTTCTTATTCTAAGCATAAATAGGCTACACTTCTAAAATGTTGGTGTGTGCAGAGAGAATTGGTTTTTATAAGTACTTTCATACTTCCGAACTATAGGGCTTCTAATTCTTTGGCAAGCATTTTGAGATTCATCCAATCATATTTCCTGTTACAATTCCCAATCAAACAAGCCATTTTGAAAAATTTCACTACTACTTCCCTAAGTCACACTAAAATGGGAGAGAGCATCATAGAAACATCACACTCATCACTTATTTCAGCACCCTGTATTTTTCCTTCTGGCAGAATCCAAAGGAAACCTTTGAGACAAAATGTGTATCTTTCCTGCAATTTGATTTTTTTTTTAAATTACTGTACTTGGAAAAGTTGAAGCACTATTGTGTGTATCTCATATATTTACACATTTTATATTGCTACTAACATACATCAATGTTCACCCTCATATTAGCATTCATTCAACTTTTCATGCCAATGAAAACCCCATTACAATTAAAAACATTTCCTTTCAATTAAATTTCAACTTTTAGTCCATAGACTGACCATTTTTTTCCAATCCATTAACTTTATAGGATGACAGAACTAATGGCTGTAGTTTATAAGGGCTTGCTCCTAGTCCATTCTTTGTTATAGTATTTTAGGTTCCCTGATTTGAAGCAGTGTGATAACCTATGTTAGTATAGTTAATGCAAATAAACTGTCCTGAAATGAAATATTAATGAGACATGTTCTCCAAATTCAGTGCTGTGGTTTTTTTGTGACATGCTATGAGAAGTTTGAGGAGACTGTGGCTTATGAAGTGAATTATAACATCTATGTTAAGAAAATAGTTTACCTAGAAGCTTTGTGGATGTTGTGGTGATAGAAGGGTGGGGGAGGGTTGAAACTCAACTGTGCAGAGGCATCTGAGAAAGAGGATTAAAAAACAGTGGCTTTGCTTCCCTTTTATAACAACAGGAAGGATTTTGAATAAAGGGAAGAATAACTTACAGTAAATGGCTCCTACCAGTGTAGGCATCTCGATTTTTGTTTACCCTATGAGTTGTCTCATAAATTGATTTCAAGTATTATTGTTCCTTAATAATTCTAGAAGAATTATTGCTTAATTTTACCAAGTAGAAACAATTCATACTTTAAATAAACTTCCATCACCTTTAAGTTTTAGATAAATTTTCTATGATTGCCTTTAACATATAACAGAAAACTTTTCATTATTAATTGTTGGATTCTACCCCATGTTGGTAAACAATATACAATTATAGTGACTGTGAAGAAGTCTTAGTCCGTATTCTCACACTATATCTTGAGCCAAACCTGTTTAGTTCCTTTATCTTTTTAACCCAATCTGAATAATGTTGTTAGGTGAAAATATATATATATATATATATATATATATATATATATATATATATATATATATATATATATATACACACACACACACATATATATACACATATATATATATGTATATATATATGTATATGTGCATATATGTATGTACATATGTATGTGTGGTGATTGTTACTGCCTAGTCTGTTCATCAGAGGCACTGCTTTCAAGAGAAGAAAGACACATGAGAAATAATATCCTTATATAACTGTTAAGGATGAAGACAAGAGTTAAAAAAATAAAAAAACCCACTAGGTGATGAAGAAAGTCAATTAAGAGGCTTCCAAAACTATGAATATTTTGGAATTTAACTATAAAGCAGGTGTTGACAGAAGCTAACCATTTTTCTGGTCACTAAGTGAGGAGGATCCCAGTAGATCACTAAAAGCATTTAATAGTGGTCCTTCATTACTGTCTTATAAATGTCAAAGTGTAATAACATATGAGAAAAGTTCAGTGTATTTTGTCTGCAAAATTAATTAT